TTAGGTTGTTTTCAATCATGTGGCCTAATAAACATTACTTTCATAAATAATCTTATATATAAATGATTTGCAAATGGTGTGTATTAAAATTCCTTGTGGTAGAATTTGGGGATCAGGTATATGTGCATTTGCAATTTTGATTGATATTATCAAATTGCCTTCTATAGAAGTTGTTTCAGTTGATACTCTTGCAAGATAAATTGAGTGTTCCTATTTCCTGTACCTTCTCCTATACAATTGTGTGCGTTGATGGGAGTCTGAACTATCTCAGTGGCCATGTTCTTTGATTGGGAAGATCAATCAAATCTGTCCACTTGTGATTAGTATATGTCCTCTGGCATTGTCCGTAGGTAGTGCACCTGCCTCCTACCTCCTTCTTGAGGCAGTAGAGGGAGAAAGTATATGTGTTTGTATGTGTAATTTTGGGCTAATGAGGGAGGTGATAGATATCTTCCAAGATTCGTGATGTGAGAAATGCCAGTGAGGTATTTCCCACCCAAATACTTATTCCACAAATTTTACTTTTCCAAATTCCATATTTGAATTTATTCCTTTGCTTAAGATTTTGTCTCTTATCAAAACATAACTGATTAAGTCTTACATTGTATTTACATTGTATTATGAATTATTTCCTTCTAAGCAGTTTTGCAGGTAGGAAATCAGAGAGAAAGATGAGAAGGAGAAGACTCTGATAAGGGAAACTAGAAGGAACTATTAAAATGTTCTCAGGAGAGCCTGGAGAGGAAGGAGCTAGATCAGGCAATTTCCTTTGCAAAAGAGCAGCCAGGGGGGTTGAAGCCCTGCTGAGGAAGGAAGCTCAGGCAGCAGCTGGGTAGGATTCTGGGAGGGTGCAGGTGCTAGGGTGCAGGTGGGGATGGGTCACTGGGCTTGTCACGCCCCCTCATACTGCTGCCACAATGGTAGGGCCAAGAATCTCCACAGAAACTAGCAAGAGATAGAGGATTTTTGCACCAAGAGAAAGTGCAACTCACGTCTCAGAGTTATTTTCTATACTCTATAAAACTATACAAGCCAATTATATAAGCCCCAACCCTATAAAAAACTGAGCAAAGGATATATGCAGACAGTTTGTAGAGTAAGAAATAGAAATGGAGTTCATGAAATGGAGTTCTATTCAGCCCTACTCATAAGAGGAGAAATGCAAATTACAACTACAGTGAGATTCCATTTTTCATACATCAGATTGGTAACATTGAGAAATGGCTCTCTGCCCATTGGTACAACTTCTTTAGAAAGAAAATTGTTAGTATCTATCTAAATTAAAAATGTATTTGTCTTTTGATGTAGCCATTCCACTTGTTTTTGTTTTGGTGGTGCTGGGGATTGAACCCAAGGCCTCTCACATATTAGGCAGGTGCTTCACAGCTGAGCCACATCCCCAGCCCTGCAGTTCCACTTGTAGCAATATTTCCCCATATATATTTTCAAATGTGTGTAATGACTCATAAGAAGACCATTCACCAAGGCATGGTGTGTAACAGTAGGAGTTTCTAAGTCCTGAGAGAGAATACTCATCAGACAGGTGAGAAAGACGAGAATGCATCAATAGAATGCATCAATATAATGAAATGCTAATCAGCTATAAGCAAGGAAAAAATACTTTGTGTTCAGATAGAAACTCCAGTGATTTCTTTTTCTTCTTCCTTCCTTCCTTCCTTCCTTCCTTCCTTCCTTCCTTCCTTCCTTCCTTCCTTCCTTCCTTCCTT